AAAGCACAGAAGTTTCTAAAATAACCACATTTCCTTCTTCATGATTTAAAAATGATCTCTAGTTTGCTTCCTATAGTCTAGAATTCCAATCATTAACCTTAAACTGCTATGGAGCTCTGATTTTTGTTTAGCTCAAAGAATCTCTTAGAAACATCCTAGGGAAGGACTGAGAGACTTGTACTCCAGCCATGGAAGCAAATGATACAAAATTATCAATGGGGATAATAAAGTCCTCATTGATTTAATATTCATTATGTAACCACAGTGTGGCTCATAATGAAGTAATGTCCATAAATAACTTGTTGAACATTCAGAGAAAATCCTAACAGAGCTGCACCACACTAAAGCTGGTTAACCAGCTGATTTTTTCCTAAATAAAATCAAGACAGGAGTTGCATGTGCAACTCACTTGGGACTTACTATTGAGACCAAGCGAGGTGTTGACCTTTATATTAGTTCGAATGCCTTAGGGTCTGGGGCTGTAGCTCGGTGGCAGAGTGCTTGCCTAGCACATGTGAAGCACTGGGTTCAATCCTCAGCTGCACCACCTAAAATAAATAAAAATATTTTTTAAATCAATCCAGATTTTAAGAAAGAATGTTTGGGGATGCAAACAATGGAAAATTTGACCAAGTAGTTAAACAGTGTAAAGATTCTTCTCACTTAAGAAAAACCAGGTGTTGGTAATTGGCTCCTTATCATTGCCATTGAGGGAGGATGTACAGTCTTTCTAAATTTCTAATCTTTCTCAGGCACATTGGCTTTTCAGTTTTGGTGCTTATCATTTCTTGGTCTGAAAACAGCTAACAAAGTTCCAGGCGTTTTGTCTACTCCCTTTACCATGATAGCAGTAGCTACTTTCACAGAAGCACCCTTGTCAGTGGTCACAGCTGGGCCCCGTGGCTGCAGGGGAGCCTGGCAGAGCTGGCAAGGGTCACCACCACATCTGGTTTAAACCATGTTTCCTCCCACGCCGCAGGCCACAGTGACAACCTACATTGTAAAAAGAAAGTAAGTCATAATTTCTTTAGCATGGGGAAGAGGCTGTTAGGGAAGCAACAGCATCTGCCTTAACATCCATAAGCTTCTTTGGTCAAAGTTGACCATTTGAACATCGATCATCAAGTTTTTTAGGCTCTGATACATCGATACATCGGACCTTTAAAAAGTACTTTAAAACACACACACACACACACACACTCTGTCTCTCTCACACACACACACACACACAGAGAAAAGGGGGAGAGAGAGAGAGAGGCTTTAAAACTTTGTTTTGGGCAAAGATTTTTTTGGACATGACCCCATTAATACAGGCAACAAAAGCAAAAATTGGCAAATGGGATTATATCACACTGACGAGCTTCTGCACAGCCCAGGAAACAATCTACAGAGTGAATAAACAGCCTTCAGAATGAGAGAAGATATTTGCAAACCATTCATCTGACAAGGGATTAACATCCAGAATATGTAAGAAACTCAACTAGACAGCAAAAAAAAATCCAACTAGAAAATGGGCAATAGGGGAGGATTGGAGATGGGGGTGGGGGGGGAGGGAAGGAGAACTGGGAAAATGACCTGAACAGACCTTACAGATGACCAACAAGTATATGAAAAGACGATCAAATCACTGATCATCAGGGAAATACAAATCAAAGCATTAATGAGATACCTGACTCCAGTTAGATAAGAAGACAAAAGATAACAATGCTGGCCAGGATGCAGAGAAAAGGGAGTTCTCATATACTGTTAGTGGGAATGTAAATTCCAACAGTTGTTGGGGCAAAGTGGCAATGTTCCTCAGAAAACATAGAAATAGAGCTACCATGTATACACCCATACACTACTGGGTGTATATCCAAAGGAAATCACTTGTATATTTATCATAACACCAGTCACATTCATCCAGATAGGGAATCAACATAGGTGTCTATAAATTGATAAATAAAATACAATGTGTATGTATGTGTGGGTACAGTGGAATCTTATGCAACCATAAAAAAGGATGAATTTCTATCATTTGCAGCAACATGGATAAAACTGGAGGGCATTATATTAAGTGAAATAAGTCAAATAAGTCAGGCATAGAAGGGAAATACAAGACATGACTGAGGCTAATGGCTGCTGAATTGTATGAGGCTAAAGTAGTGTTTTCCTAAAAGTTTTGAAAAAGCACATTTGGTTGGTATAAGTGAAAACTCGGAGAGGTAAAAAGCAGAACCCTGTTACTGGGTTTGTAGCTGCTGACCCGGAAGCCGTTTTAATCAGAAATGGAGCACAGCCATTTGGAAATTCATAAACTCACATAGGCTTCTTTTTCTTCATTTCTCTTAATGACAGGAGAGTAGTCCTTGTTTTCTAGCCCCCTCACCCTTTCCTCTGCTCTGTCTTGTCTTCTGATCTGATGGCTCATATGCTGCCATGCCCCCGGGCTATACCTTTTATTCCTTGATTGACAAACTGATGGGATCTATTTGACACAATAGCTTCACAGGTGGAATTGTGGAAAATGTGGTTCAGATGCCTTTCCTTCATGTATTTTCCAAGTAAATTTTCTCTAGTATCGTCTCTTCCAAAATGAATAGAAAACTGGCCCTATCACCTTCTCTTCTTTTGTCCCCATTCACACCATCTTAATCAACTGCCCTTCATACTCTTTATCATTTAAATGCTTCAGCTCCATGAAATAGTAGCCCTGATCCTGGCTTCCTTAATCTATTTTTAAACTACCTCTAGATCATTTTACTAAATCTTGTTCTTATTGGGAATAGTGCCTTTTTATACTATTTAATCTTGCCACTCAGGCATTTTGGAGAAAGATTAAGTAATGAATTCTGAGAATGAATAGGATTTCAGAACCTTTATGTCCTTTGGATATCATCTAGTTCAATCTCCTGATTTCACAATGCATAGACTGATGTGTGATACTGATAACCTTCTTTATTAGTAAATGCCCTTTTCGAGTTCTCATGTGGCTTTCTGAGATAATGTTTATAATGTTATTCTTTATTTTGTTAACTTCTATGTCAAAATTGGATCATATATCAGTTATTAAAGGCTTCAGCTACAAATAAAAATACTTAACATTGGCTAAATGATGAATTTTAATATTTTAATTAAGAATCCAGAGGAAGTAGGGGGTCATGGGGTTGGATCAAGCTCTTTGTGTCATCAAGAACATAGGCATTTCTGTCTTTTTGTCACTTCCTCAAGCCTAGCATACAGTGCTTTTGTCTTTATACCTACTGTCCCACATCACAGGGTGTCAGCTGGCAAGAATGAGAGGAAGGGCTAGTACCAGGGTCCTCTCCTCTAAAGCCTGTCCCTGGTACAGAAAGCAGAATTCCTCTCCTAGAAATCCCTAGCAGACGTCTTCTATCTCCTTGGCTAGATGTCACCTGGCCCATCCTAGGTGCAAGCAGGGCTGGGAAGGAAGCTGTGGTGGATTGTATCAGCCTTTGTGATGGGAGAGACACAGGAGAAGAGGGGGTTGAGAAGGGCTTTTGATTGGCCACTGAAGTGTGCCGGACAGAGGTCACTATGAAACATACATTCATTCCCGTGTCTGTATCTTCATATCCAGAGAGGGAATGTAGCTTACCATCCTGGCAAGCTACATTCTGTTCTGAATTCAGATTGCCTGGGTTCAAATCAAACTTGCATTTCTTGCTTAGTATGGCTTCAAGCTTATCTGCCTTTGTTTTCTTCCCTGTAAAAGGGGATAATAATGCTACCAATTATATGTGATATGCATGAATAACTGGAAGTCAGCATGGGAGCCAAAATGTAAAAGTCACCAAATCATCAGCCAAAGCTCAGCACCCTGCTTGGAGACCCACCAAGCCCAGAGCAAATATAAGAAACTTGGAGAGGTAGCACTTTGTGCAGTTATTAAAAGTGACATATGCAAGACTGTAATCTAACTGGAAATGTCCCTGAAAGATGTATAGTCTTAACAGAATTTGCCTGTCTTTGTTTGGATGATTTGTAACTGACATGTTCTTTTGTTTAGAAATAAAATACTTTAAGTCTTTGTAAATTCTTCATGTGTGGAGGCAGCATGGTGAAAGACTTATTTTGACTAAAATATATCAAATCAAGAATCTGAGGCATTTCTATAAATCACAATATATATGTTGGGGGGGGGGGGCGCGCACACACACAAGAACTAAATAAGTGACTTGCATAGAAACAGCGTCAAAAACAGTGGCAGGGCTAGAGGAGAGGAAAGAAGTCTCTGCAGTGTTCTCAATGATTAGAAAAAGGTAATGAGACCCAAGGAAATAAGGGAGCAAGGGATTGTTTGAACCACGCTAGTATTCAATAAATAGTTGATGAAGAAGAATTTGTTGGATGAGAAAAGCATCTGAAAATAATTTGAAGTTGTGTAGACTTCATGTTTATACTGGTAGCTGCTATTCACAATACCCTGAGAATGAGGTGCGGATAATTCCAGCAAAAAAAGAAAAGGAATGGAGGGAAATCCAGAGCAGCTTCTGGAAAGAGTTGTGGTCCTCTGAGGAGCCTGGAGTAGATTCATCATAGAAGGATCCTTCCCTCTAGGTGAGTCTTGGCCAAGTTGGAGTAGGAAAGAGTAACAGCTACATCCCAGCCAGGTTCATACAAGGCCTAGGTCATGTGGAGGAGGCTCCAATGACTCAAAACCAGAGGTTACAGCCCCCCAGGGCTGAGATCCTCTGGTGCCTGAGTGCTCAGCATGCACAATTCCTCCATCAAGTAGCCAGTAACCCAGGCCGGCATTCTATCAGAATATGCAGAACAAATGATAGCTAAAATTCTGACATAAAAAATTTCTATCTGAATCAATGAATCAGTCCCGTGGCTGTTGCTGCATGAATTGTGTCATGTCAGAAATGAAGTCGAGCTCCCGGCAGTCGTTCAGGGCAGTTGTTCAGTTCTCTGGGTGGTCCACACGCGAGGTGTGCCGCACGTGCATTGGTGAGCGTGTACTGACTACCCTTCTTCTCCAACTTTCCCTTTAGAAAACCCGTTATGAAATTTACGTCGGCATTCTGAAAGAAGGCGGCAGGGAGCTCCTGAGTCACGATGAAAACGAGTCTGCGGGACTGAAGAAGTCTCACTCGAGTCCTTCATTGAACCCGGAGTCATCCCCAATCACCGCCAAGGTCAAGCGTAATGTGTCAGAGAGGAAGGACCACCGACCTGAAACACCAAGCATTAAGCAAAAAGTTACTTAGGATCCACTCTGCTGCCAGGAAGTGCTGGTCATGGAGCAAAATAGGGTTTTTCAAGATATTTCTGGTAATCCGTGAATATATTAAAAAAAAAAGTGTGTGACTAAATGGTGCATTAGTAACTTTTTATATTGTATATTTTTGTTAGTTTCTGTACAGGTTGTCTTCGCTCTTGATTTCTTTGCTTTAATGATTTTTGCAATTTGATAACTAATGCACCTTTTTTTGTGAGGGGGAGAAGATCGTGATTCCAGAATGAATTACGCATCCCTTCTCCTTTGGTTTTTCTCGTTTGCACTCTGCTCAGTTGTTTTATGTATTCTCAAATCCACTGTTATATTTTTTTTTAAAGGTTAAAAATTTAATCCATTGTGTAACACTTAACTGGACAAACTTTGTAGTTTAGTAAATTCTAGCCAGAGTTAATATAAGCCTTTATATGTGAAATCTTGCCCAGTCACGGAGGTGAAGTTGAGTCCTCACAGATGCTCAAGTGAGAATTACGATGCTGGGGATTGAGATGTTTCTGTGGGATGCAGCTCTGTGTGCACCCCAGCACTTCTTGCTGAGTTCTGACCCTGCTAGAAGCAGGGGAAGAGGGCATGAAAGGTCACAGGACTGGAGAACCTAGGGACACACATTAGCTTGCTTGAAGTGTGGATTCCCTTCCAGTCAAGCAAGGCAAAGAGGAAGAGAGCCGTATTGCCACTGAAGGCTGAGGACACATTGATACTAAGCAAATTTTGTTTTCTAAATGATAGTGGCAATTGTTGGCTCTTGGGAGCTGCAGCAATAGACATGTGTTTGGTCTGCAGGAAATTGTTACCTCACTCCCATAGGGTCTAGACTAGGAATCCAGAATCATCTCTATCGTTGATACCTTCCCATCCAGGAATATATTCTTTTTTGCTCTACATATATATATATATAGGCATGATGTCATCTCCTGGTTGTAAGAATGTTGGGGTTTTCCTTCATAACAGAATAATGTTGAAAATGGAACCCCTTTTGCTCTTTCCTTAGTCAAGACAAAATAATGGAGCAAAAAGCAGCTGCAGCTGTTCAACAGTGGATATAGATTCCCTAAGCTAAATCCGAAAGTGAAGTGTGGATGAATTGTGGTTAGAAAATGGGGGAATCTTCTGATTGCATATGCAGAGTTTCTTAGTTTGTTCTTATGCCAGTCTCTGGACAGCCATTTTATTCTGTCACTGTTAAACTTGCTCCTAAATTTTTTTTAACCTATTTTAAATCATTTCTTTCTGTATACTCAAAATAGTTCTGTTCACCTTACAGTCATGAGCTCGTTCCAGTGACAGTCCCTTTGAAATTCTGGGAGATAAACAGAATATTCTCTTGTAAAGGAACAGAAGGGAGTGAATGTTGAGTCCCCAGTGACATAAAGAACTTTTAGATTTCCACACCTTGAAACTGTTCCCTGAAGCTGTCATCTTCCCAAACCATCCAGCTTCAAAACCGACAGTATCACTTTCCATGTTCTTTTCCCTCCCATAGGAATTTTCTCTACTTTTCCTTAGTTTATTATTGTAGGTACTGGGACCAAAGCATCTGCTGCTCTGCATGAATAGCACAGTTCCAGTGGACTAGAGAAAACCTGCTCTAAGACATCACGGTAGTTTCTAGTGATATATTGTTACAATGTACTCACATTTAGTCACAGGATTATTTATTAATGTTTACTTCCTTCACCTGTGTACATGTGCATATTTGCTGGTGTCCAGAGAAGAGCAACCCTCTCTGAGGTGGCAGTTGCTTGCTTTGTGGTATTTTGCCACACCTTTGAAAAACTGACTCTAACCTGGTTTAGGTAAAAAGCCGTGGCTACATTTATGTTTCAGAACCGTGAAGCAAACACGGTAGTTACCAGTGTGATCCATATACCAGAATCATTTTCGTAGCTTCTGAATCCAAGATTTCCACAAGCAAGTTGTCTTTCCTGCTAGAATCTGAAATATCAGTGTTTGTTTTCTGCCTCAATATTTGTACTAGATGAGGAGAGAGAGGTACCTAGATCCTGTCGTCTATGAACTTCAGTAACTGAAGAGAAATTAGAGTCCCTGACTGGCTTGAATGTGTCTGCCCACCGTGTGTGTCTATGTATATAGGATGTTTGTGTGTTTCACTTAGAGTTTATAATGTACATTGAATGGTACCTTGCTGCAGTATTGGTTATACTTGGTTAGCATTAGCACCACCACAGCATCTTCTGTTAGGAGACTCACTGAGGTTAGCTCCGGGGACTCCGGATACGCTAGTAGGTAACCCCATGACAAGGGCACTTTTGAGGCTGCAGAATGCCACATTTGCATAGTTTATCTTTAAAAACAATGTGGAGGCTCTTTTGTGAACCAGGATCCCGTGTGGTGCTGCTGACAGTCTTCAGGGGATGAGCCTAGCATGCCTCCTCTTCCCTGAGGCCTCTGGAAGGAGCTGTGTTTTCAGTCTCTGTAGCAAGACTGAGAGTTTGTCCCATGGCTAGAAATGGCCCCTGACTTGACTGGATTCCGAGAGTCAGTCTGTAGCCAACCACAGTTTCTTTTGTGATAATTTCTTTCCTGTGGTTTGAAGAAATGGAAGATGTTTCCGTTCACAGTGACTCCCAGCCTGTTGCCCAATTCACGGTACAGGGGAGCTCTTCTCCTCCTCTTCTTTTAAAGGTACTTCCCCAGCCCCCACCCCCACCCTCCCCATACCTCCTGCTCGCCCCTACCTCAGTGCCCAGGACCCTTGGGGTTTCTCTCCATGTGGGAAATCATTATTCCTCATCACATAAATACATTTTATATTAATTCCTACTGTAGAAAATTTTGATAAGGTATCAGAATACCATTGTGATAGTCTTGGTGCAAAGCTGACCATGAAAGTGGCCCATGTATAAAATCTGTGGGGTTGGGGGTTTGCCCCCACCTAACATGCTGGCTCTTATAGGGAGGTATCAGAGAGTTGTTATCAATCAAAATTAGTTACTGGCACGCAGAGTCCTTATTTTATTGCCAGACCATAGGCATTTCTGTAGTGTTCTTTTTACAAACATCATTGACCTTATTCTAATAATGTCTAATTAGACAATACTTTTGTGCATTTTAATTAATCTTAGTAAAACCAACATGTGTTGGGGGGAAGTCCTGATAAAAATAATTCCTGGATTATTTGAACCTTTTTTGACTGCTCTTAGGTAAAGAGAAGACATTTTCTCATGCGGCAGTCTTATGCTATTTGTCAGAACCTCTGTGCTTTTGTGGTTACCCTAATCCAGAAGGTGAGGACCATTTCCTAGATAGAGGAGCCATTAGAGAACTAATTCTGGAAGAGGAAAATCTGGTTGGTTTTCAGATTTGTATTCTACCCTGTGGCCAAACCACAGAACTTTGTGAAATTGGGGGAGAATTTACATGACCATCAAGGAAAGAGGCCCTGGGGATGCCTAAGCACCAAATTACACAGAGTCTGGGACTGCTCTGTGCCTGCTCCTGCCTTTATCCTGAGATAAGACAGAGCCTGGCCTGGCCTGCCCGTGGCACCTCTTCTCTTTTTGCCTAAACCTTGGCAACTGGAAGGAAATTGACCTTATAGACCTCCTGCCTTCCTGTCAAGGCTGCCTTGGGTTTAGTTTAGTTACTTGCCCTTGGAGTTTGAATTCTTTGGCATTTTTCCTTAGTTATCAGTTAAGCTTATTCTGGCCTCAGTGCAGTAAGTTCCTTTGCTTTGTTAGGCCTAAATCACCACAGTTTGGCTGTGGTGGACTCGAGTTTTTAGCAGGTCTCCAGCTAGTCTCCTTCCTTACCTTTAGCAGAGAACAATCCTTTTAGTTTTCAAATGACAGAATTCTTTTTCCAAGTGTAAAACTAGCCCTGTAAAACAGTGAACCAAAGTGGCCTCCTAGCACTTGTCAAAAGATGAGCCTAATTTATGAATGATAGTGCTCAGCTTTGGATTTCTGTAGTGTCTGTTTTCATTTCAGAGCATCTAAGTTAACTCAGAAACAGATCAGTCAGAGGCACATGAGCCCCAGGGCCTACCCAGCTCCAAAACTTTCTAGCTTTTTCCCCAGGCCAGGCTGCTGGTCTGCCCCCGGGTCAGCAGATCTCTCTCCAACTCTTCTGACATCTTATGCCATCAGGTCATCTGGAGGACTTTTGAGATCACCACAAAATTATCCCATGATAGATTATTGATAGTGATAGAGAGGTGCTTTGTCACTGTTTGTCCCCTCAGGATTCCTTTTCGATTTCTCACCCTTAAAAGAAGGATTGAAGTCCATAGGCATTCTCCATTTGTATGTATAGGATCCCAGACCCGAGCAGGGGCAGCCTTCTGCTTAGGACAGTAATTGGCCCATTGCATGTAGAGAAAATGTCCTCATGGAGAACGGCAGTAAATACTTGAATCTGCATGACAGTTTGTCGACTTGAATGCAACAGCAAGGAAACATTGCAAGTTAATTGTACATACAAGTAGTTTTCCTTAGGTCTCTCTGGCTCATCCTTTGCAATTTATGCGTGTATCTGTTGTACTACAGGCTTGTGGAAAATATTTGTGTAGACAGTATGTCAGATGTCAAAGAAAATGCTTTCTGTCACCTGCCAACGTTGTATTTGTGGATATTTATAGTTGTATGTATGTACGTGCATCTGTATAGATTGTATATCAATGTGTGGTAAATGTACATCAAAATTATTTTTGTCCTTAATAACCAGTGTAATATGAAAAGCAAGTAAAAACCTCATAGGATTGATTATATGGTACAGTTGTTGAGAGTACATATAGTGGTATTGTTTTATTAAACTTAAATTTAAATAATATTTTGATTAAAATTTTAATGAGACTATAGAAAATTCCATCTTTGAGCTTTGAATAACCGGGGCAAAAATGACTTTGAACTAATTTATGAGTCTATTGACGTGTACAGTGTGCAATACTGAGGGGGTCACTCATTGTAATTTGGGAAATATAGAAAGAAAAGGGGAGGAAGGCAGCCTGTACAGTCTTCGTGACTTTAGCAGTAAGAGCACTTAACCGTAATGTTGAACTGACAATTTTGGGCTTATTACAAAATGTGATGCTTTTCGAGCGCACTTTCTTTATTGTTGTAATTAGTCCAGAAAAAAAATATAGTTTTCAAAATTAAGCAAGTACCCACTATACCATTTATGTACCTGTGTATATCTTAGAATAGATGATACCACTCTCCTGGTGCCGCATCCTTACCCTCTTTAAAGAAATATCACAAACGCTGAAGTATATCAGGGCATCCCAAGATTGGGTACTGTATTCCAGGTTCGTAGGTGCACAAATCAGCAGCTAGTGTCACAGGTGAAAGGACTTTAGGACCAGGTTAAAACTTTATTTAATATTTTTATACTTAGGTCTCTTTTTCCTGCCTCTCCCCAAAGAAGAGCCACTGGCCTTAGTTGTTTGACCTTATTGCTTATATTATAGAGTGTAAATAGATAACTAGAGACTAAAATTTTATTAACC